ATTGAGTTCAATCATAGTTAGACAAATATAATGTGTTATATTATTAATGAATTTCATGATATCAGTTATGTTGGTCATACCGATAAATCGTTGTTTAACCGATACTGAAGATTTCTCCATATGGATGAAAGCTGAATGGTTCTAATGAGCCTTTTAATGTACATAAACATTGCATTTTCACATATGGAGATAGTGTCAAACAACTTATTATATGTTGAACACTTTTTTCGATTAGAACGAACTAAAAAGAAAAAAAAAAAACTCACTGTTCATGTTTAAGAAAGTGGTTTGTGTTTAGGCCATTGCGTATAGGGCTTCTAGTGTTTCTATTGTCCTGTATGTTTAGTATTTTCTTTTCTGAATCAATGCTGTACTTTTCTCCTTTTTTTTTAAAAACACTTTTGCCTCTATTGTACATTAATAAAATTCGTATGAAGTGTATTTATAACTCGAGGTTAATTATTTTGCAATATGGTTCTGTTTCGTTTAGAACTCATGTATTTTTTCTTTTTTTAGTAAACGTTCACAAACATCGTAATAAATGTCAAGTACAAAAATTATCTTATCATTAAATTTCGACTACTGAAACATTCAATTATTTTTATAAAAATAACAGACGATGTCCAAGTTCTTGTGACCACCCTATTAAAACTTCTTGTACCCAAGATCTTTGGACACAGAAATTTTAAGATCTTGAGTGAAAAATTTTCTTTACATTTTCTTTTTATTTATGACAGGCATAGCGATCGGATATACGACCATATAGAGTCAAATGTTCTGCTTTAAACAACTATGGTCAAGAAGGAAAAAAATGCTAAGTTATTCTAAGAGTGAAAATATTCGCAGTTATGTTTACACAAGAGCGTAAAACAAAACAATGATTCAAGAATTTCCAAGATCTTGGTACAAGAAGTCAAGAAATTACAAGATGTTCAAGATTTTGCCTCCTTAAAATTTCTTGAATTCTTATATTTTCTTACCAAGATCTTATTGGAAAAATTCAAGAAGTCAAGATCTTGGTTACAAGAAGTTTCAATAGGGCAATGATCCTTATTTAGATCAACAAGTATAAACAGTATAGTCTCTCAATTTGTCCTACTCGATTTTTATAAGATAAAACAAAGTTAGATGATGGTATTAGAAGTGAGAGTCAGTATATAGAACAAATGAAAACTAAATCATATAAAGAATTCTTTTAATATGTGACAATGGTAATCTCAAATTGTACTGATAATTTGTACGATTTATAATTTCTTTCATAAGTTAAAAGAAAATAAGATTGAAGGTGAAATTTTAAAACATTTTTCTTGTTCATTTGCTTTACTACTATTCGATCTTTATTGTTGCTATGCGGGACAAAAAGAGCTTTGTCATACATATTTTATTTCATAACATCAACAAAATAAAAATAATAGTTATAAAACGTGCAGAAAACTCAACTTAAAAAAAAAAAACATTTTTTTTTCTTTTATTAATTTTAAAAATGTATGAAGCCTCTTGGCTTTATTATATAAAATTTTTTAAATCACAGACATGTATGTTTAAAATCTATGTATAGTAGAAAAACTAAGAGCATAAGTTTTCTCAATAGAATCGGCCTACTCTTCTTATTTTTTACGTTTGAAACAAAATGTAATTGTATACAGAGAAAAAAAGTGATCATTAACACTTCGACTATACTCCATCTTTTTTGTTTGTCAAAAATTTTTTTTTTTTTATTTTTTATTTGTCATTTTCACGTCTGTTAAATATGTTACCTTCTTTTTTTCTTCTCTTAGAGAGACAGAAAATTTGAGTGTCAATTGACCAAAGAACAAATAAGTAATATAGAGACGGCACTCATCTAAAAAGTATCAAAATATTTTTATCGGTAATCAATTAAAAAAGAAATCCGGTGGTATTTGTACGTGTATGCTTCTTTTCTTTTTTAATCAAACCCATACCTCTTTGATTGTTGTTCAATAAATATTAAAAAATAAAGTCAAAAACAAAATCTTTAGGAGATTTTCGATGCTAAAAAAAGAAATATAATATAATATAGAATCATGCCGATTATACATAAAAAAACACCGACAATAAATGAACCATCAACAAAAGGAGGACGTACATCGAAAGTAAGTGAAGTAGAAGATTATGATTAAAAATAAATAACATCTTCAAGCATATTGAAATTGATTACTTAACTAGTCAATAAAACATTTTGTAATTTTTTGATTAGTTGTATGTTTATTATCTAGATTTCTTCGCCAAAAACTGGTGGTGGTATACGACAACAACGTTTGTCTCAATCATTACGTGTTCATAATGTCAGTCAACAAACGAGTCCGTTGGCGAATACTAATCCACCAATAAAATCTCCAAATTCATCACCATTAATGTCTCATCTTCGTCCACCTGATCCACGTATGTATGTTCATGCTGGTGTTTCAGGTATTCGTCATTTATTTCCAATTCATTTTACAACTACCGATGAAACTGGTCAATCAACATTTACTCGTCCAATATCATCCATGCGTTCTCGTACACCTACCACCGATTTATGTACAAATATTGAAATGATACGAAATGTTTGTAAAGTTCATACATTAAAACATTTAGATTTAACTGGAAATGAATTAGATGAATTACCGATTGATGTTAGTCAATTAATCGAATTAGAAACATTTAATTGTTCACACAATAAACTTCATGATCTACCGGATATTCTTGAACAATTACAACAATTAAAAGAAATTGATCTTTCATATAATCAATTAAAAATAATTCCATCGGTTGTTTATAAATTTAAAAAACTTTCTCGTCTTCATTGTGAACATAATCAATTAGAATTAATTAATGAACAAATTCATACATTAAAACGTCTTAAAATACTCGTATTAGATTCAAATATGATATTAAATTTAGATAAAATTGATATAAGTCAATTAAAAAAATTAGAATATTTTAGTATGGCAAATAATCAAATACAAAAATTTCCTCAAGGTTTACAAACCCTTCATCATATACGAAATATTAATTTATCATACAATCTTTTAACAAATATTCCCGTTGATTTATTGTTAATTAATACATTAGATGTATTGAATTTAAGTCATAATCAAATTAAAAAATTACCACCAATGTCTATTGCTCCTAATCGTCTTACACAAATATTTTCATTAGATTTATCTTATAATCAATTAGTTAAATTTTATGATTATCTTTTAATGATTACATTAAAATTAGATTTATCAAATAATAAAATCCGACTAATTCCTAATCATCTTATAAAAAAATTAACCTATGATATTCTTGATACAAAAGAATTAAAAATTGACAATAATCCATTGATTACACCACCATTAGATATTATTAGTAATTTGAGAAATGATACAAATTGTTTAAAAATAATTCGAAAATATTATGATGAACAACCGTTGGATGTTAATGTTCGACAAGGTTTTAAAATATGTATTAGTGGACCAAAATCGAGTGGAAAAACGGCATTGGCTAATACATTAGAAGAATATATGCCACATTTAGATCAAAGTGAACAACAAGAAAGAATAATACATAGTAAGTTAATTATTTAATCTATAGAAAAAAAATCGAGATCGAGATGTCGTTCAGATTTTATAAAAAATGTTTTAGTTGAACTATATTTGATAAAACGTCAATTTATCACGTAAGATATAGATTGTTCTAAACATTTATTAGAGATCAATCACCTCGACATTGTAGATCTTGATTTCTAATATAGTGCGGCAAGGAAGAATGATAAAAAATAAAAAGTTACAAGGATAAAGAAAAAGAAATAAATAATAAATACGGTGTGTGTGTGTGAAAAGACAACTATGACATCAAATATTATCAAATCTTGATGTTCTACTACGAAATCAGAAACTGTATAATATATTTTCTTCAACTCGCTATAGAAAGTTTGCGGAGATCTCTATCTCCCCCCCTCAAAAGATGATTAATAGTTATATTAGTGTTAGGGAACAAATTCTCAAATTCCCAAAGAAACTTCGAATACCATTGAGTATAGTTCTTGCATTCAAGCAGGTAATGAGATACTGTCTCACGAGCACCACAAGTGCAAGCTGGACTCAGAATAAGTTTACGAGCAAAGAGGTCACTGTTCAACTGAGAAAATTTCATTCTCAACCTTGTTAAATGAATATCGGTGTTTCGATTGTTGTGTAATGGGATAGGCGGAGGGAAGAAATCATCATACTTCACCAGAAGGCTACGAAATTTTTTGTGCTGTACACAGGAACGAACTCCTAAATCAAGCCCATTCCACAACCTAATGGGTGGCTGGTATGAATGTGTTCTCATAGACATCTTACTTGCCTATTTCAACAGGTAATTTCGCAGTTCGACAGAAACAGTTTTTCGGTGTCGAGTTTCGAGTCAAAAAACTTCGACAAGGTCGAATATCGAGCGAAAACTCTGTCGAATTTTAATTCTGTCGAAAATTTTCGCTCGAAATTCGACACTGTCGAAAGCCTGTCGAATTTTCGTAAAGACGTAGGTTTCTCTAGTAGAGAAGTGAAACGAAAAATCTGTCGAATTTCTAGTCTGTTTTCCCTCGAAATTCGACAGGCTTTCGACACTGTCGAATTTCGAGTAAGAAGTGTCGACAAGCGAAAAATCCGACAGTGTCGAAAACTGACTGTCGAAAAATAGAACTGCCGAACAGCGACAAATTCAACTTACACTGGGTAACGGAACGAGTATTGTAGAAGTGTAAATTTTGGTTAACAAGGATAAGAAATGATGGGACAAGATTTCGACGTACCTTTCATTGCTCCAGTTATAGCAAGACCAGCGTGATATTGCAATGTACTCAACTGTGCAAGATTTTTTCAGTTGTTCCTGAGTATATATTACAGACGCATAATTTAAAGTAGAAAGAACAAGGGAATTGTAAATCAACGTTAAAGGTTTTCTAGAACATACTCTGCTAAGTAGCTTAATGAATCTATTGTTTTCGAGCATTCCACTATAACTAAGTACATCCATGCACTTAGTCCAATCCAAGCCACTTATCAAAAGACGACCAGGATGTCTATGAGAATTCATGGTTTCTAATTTATGGCCACCAACGAACAATGGTAATACAACAGATATAGATTTTATGATGTCATAGCTTGATTAATGTAAATTTTCTCTTTTAAGGAAGTTTTGTCACCGGTATGACATGAAAAAAATTCAAAATTTTTCGATTTCGATAATTTCTACTAATCACCATTCATTGCACCACTCTCTTGGTGCTAACTGCAGACTTTGGAGGTTCAAAAGACTTCTCAGTTGAAAAATCCATATTTTTATCGAATAGACACGAGGAGATATGTGTGTCAAAGTGTTATCATGGTTTTCCCATGTAACACACTTGATTATGAGTAATTTTTGAGCTGGTCATGAATCTGTTAGCCTTTAAGAACCTCTGTTCAAACTATTAGCCTCAAGAAACTCGTTATGTACTTTCGTCTAAACAAATTCTAATACTTCTAAGTTTTAGAAAATGTGAACTACATATTCTCACAAGTTATTAGAACTAACAAACAAGTTTTCACGAGAATGTAAGACTTTTGACATACTGAATTCTGTAAAGTTTTGAATATCCATTGAACTGAAATATAAAATTTTTGTATCTTTGTTAAAGCTTATTCGTTATTTCTAATAAGTTATGAGAACATGTAAGTCAACCTTCTCTAAAATCTAGAAGTATTAGAATTCGTTTAGATGAAAGTTCACATATGAAGTCGAAACAAATTTGACTGAAGCTAGTTTACAGATGAGTTGAAGAAAAATTCTTTTTGCAGATTACTTATGGTCATAACGTCATGATAAATAAAAAATATCTCTGCTCAGGTCCGCTCCGTTACGGAGATGTGAGATATTTTGTGTAAAACTGACTCTTGTTGATTGCTTTGAAGAAAGATTGTAACTTTATTACATAGGCAGCTGTAACTTTATACTTAAATGATCGACAACTTTCGACACTGAGATTGCTTCCATGGATGGAGAGCATGCGAAAATTTTGGCTTTTTCCATTTTTAACGATGTTGGACTTCGGATTTTTTCACGATTTCTACCAATAAAAACGAAGCTCGCATCAACACACATATAGCAACATGTCTCTATACTGTACTAGAGGAGCTACTTTTGGTTATTTTATTCATAACGGTATGATTATAAGTAGCCTGCAAAACAATTTTCTTCAACTCGTCTGCAAAATAACTCTAGCAAAATCTGTTTTGATTTGATATGATAACGAGTTTCTTGAGACTCCGAATTTGAACAGAGGTTCTTAAAGGCTATAAGGGTACATGAGTTTTTAGATGCTAGGTTTGAATTATTGTTTGAAGCAGTAATAGTTTAATTTATCATTGTTTTTCAAAATAAGAAAATAATGTATTTTAGTTCATGAATTTTTATATCGTATGAATGGAACTCATGATCAACAACAGCATGAACAAACTGAACAAGGACGTGTAGTCAGTAGTGCAAAATCATCAGTGTCTAAAACTAATAATCTACCACCATCATCTACGCCTACCAAACTACCATCGATTGTTGTTGAACAACAATTAACAAAATTGCCCATGCAACGATTTGAAATGGACACAAGAAAAATGACGACCATATCAGAAGTTATTAGACCACAAACACCTCCAATTGGACAATACGTGAAAAATAAACCACTTGCACCACCAACAACGACCGAAATAACCGATACCAATACGGCTCCTACTATTGAACCAATGAAAATGTTACCGTTAACAATATTTGATATGCATGGTTTATCCGAATATTTTCATCTATATTCTTCCTTTCTTGATAATAGTGCACTCCATCTATTATGTATACATACTCAACAATTTCAGAAAGATGTACCATCAGTTGAGAATATATTTAATGGAACAGTAACAATACCCGATTCAATCCATAACCTCTTTCAATTATTAAAATTGTTATGTGAAAAAGCAACAAAAACTCGTGGAATATTTATCATTCCTGTTGCAACACACATTGATTATTATGACAGACGAAGCAAAAATGAAAGGTATACTATCACACATACACGTACATCAGTAAAATAGACAATTTTTGCTTAGTGAATGTAAAATATATGAAATATATTTATATTCATCGAATAATTCTCTTTTTAGAGCTCAAGTTTTAGAAAAAATGAATACATTTTTTAAAACATATTTACAAAAACGTCTCGATTTGATTCGTGAACAAATGCAAAATATTGATTCATTAAAAACCATTTCATCCTCATTGTCAGATCGTTTAAAAACATTTGCTTCACTACTGAATATTAATATCAACATTCATTCACCATGTGTACCAATTAGTACATTAACATTGTCCGGTGTTGATGAATTAATGAAATTAATTCAACGTTCAGTAGTAAATAATAAAGTATTTTTTCCCAACGTTGATAGAATATTACCTACATTATGGGCAGAAACAAATCAGTTTATCAGTAATTTAAGTGATAAATTAATCGTACCATATATGTTATGGGATAATTTTAGTGATGTTGTTATATCAAAACGTGGTCTTCCACATTTAATTAATGACATAACAATGTCAATGCATGATGAAGGAAAAATTATGGTTTTTAACGAAATGGGAACATCAGATCGCGTAGTATTTTTGAAACCAGTATGGTTAGCCGATTTGTTATATTCATTATTTCGTTATGATTTAAAAATTGTTTTGGATTATGAAAAAAATGATATATTTAGTCTAAGTGGATTAACCGAACCAAAATTCATGTCATTCAAACGTGATCTTCTTGAATTTGGTCTATTGCATAGTGATTTATTACGTACATTCTGGTATAGTTTACTACATAAAAAAGATTCATTTTTCACTCTATGGTTAACTCTACAACGGTTTCTACTCATTGGTTATCCAAAAATGCCAAAATCACAATTAAAACGTTTAGTTCGTGTTGAAACACCAGAATCACAATTAACACGAAATCCTGGATTTATAAGAGAAAAAAATTTAAGTCGTCAAATCGAAGCAAAATATCGTGGTGAAAAAGCATCATCGATAACTAGTGCATCAGATACCGATGATCTTAAATTTGATTATGCTGTTATACCACATTATTTACCAATAATAAATAATAATGAAAAACAAGAAGAAATGAGAAAATTCATGAAATTGTCAAATGTCATTGCTATTAAATACTATTTTCCGTCAGATATGCCTCTCGGTTCGTTTCATAAACTTTGTGTATCAGCGTTATTTAGATTGAATATTGTGTACAAAAAACATTGGAAAAATTTTCTTATTGGTGAACATGAAGAAAAAGAGGTGAAGTGAGTGAATTTATTATTCATATGTATGAGTTTATCATGATTTATACAGTTACATTAACACTATAGGTTTATTATGGAAAGCGATAATCTCACCTATGTAATATGTCAATGTGCTACTAATCTTCGTGAACAAGCTCTAGAAGAATTATGGAATGTTCAGATGCCAATTTTGAATCATTTTGAAGAAATGATTATTAATTTGGCACCAAGTAGGCATTTTCATCTAGAATTATTGACAAATACTTCATTAAATATTTTAATCTATAGCTAGTCGATTTGATCGTTTTGTTCGGTGTCCTAAATGTAACGATTTTACTTTCATGGTAAGATTTTTATGAATCTGGTTTATTTCTGACTATTGTTACACTCTCGTCTCATTTTTGAAAGAAAGCTCAGCTTTAAGCCGGTACTATTGGAATATACTTTAAAGTGCCTTTTCAAAGTCAAGCTTGATATGCTCTTATATAGAGTCTTTCTTTTTTGATCTGTTTCTCTCGGATAAAATATTTTTCAACTGACGAGGTTGCGTTTTAATGAAAAGAACTTGACCTATTACGTTTTGTACAAATATATACTACGTCTACTCTAGGTTAATTATTTTTATTTTGAAACGGATCGGTTTGCTCTTATTAGAGTAGTTTAAGTTATCAGTAGTTTAAAGAAAAAATTAAAAACAAAGTAGATTTTTACCGTAGTATTTTGGATGTGCCGATAAAAAAGAAATTTTTGCAACCCCAAAAAAAGCAGATAGAGTATTGTATTTGTAATACTTGTGGTAAAAAATTCAGCGAGATGGGTTAAGTTCTTCTTAAAAATGCTCCCCATCCAATAGCCCATAGTGAACTGCCTAACAGGAGCTTTTTATAACCAATCGAGCATTATTTGTGCGAAAGAAAATCGAAGTGCTACAATAAACCGTTCATCAAAATCCGCAGATAAAAAATGCACCTAGTGGAGTACTGTTAAGCTGGAAAACAATCAATTCTTTTAATAACTATGTTATGGATCTTTTCTTATCCTCGTTTTCATGAGAAAATGGCAAGCATTAAGAAAATACAGATAGGAAAACCTCGAAATTGAGGCCAGTATCTGTGGTAAAAAGGTCAGCTCTCTTCGATTAGTCATTACGAACACATGACAGAGTAATGTATGTATTCTTAAAACATCAGTGAGTTTCTTTTTGCAGGGTGAATGGACGACACCAAAAGAGTTGCAATGTTTAAAATCTAAAACTTGTCCAAAGTGCAATGAAAATGTGGATACTGGTCTGCTAGTTCAACCAAATGAAAGTAAACGAAAAAGTATGTGATAATAATACTCCTTTTTTTCGTCTATTCATGTTTATTTTTGTTAATAGGTGAAGAGTTATTAAAGCGTATTCGTGAACGGCATCAGTCCAGTTTAAAAGATAAGAAATCAGATTTAAATAGTGCAACAGTAACAACACCGGCACATATTTCTAATGCACCGCCAACTATTCTAGTCAATCAAGGATAATGAAAACATTTTTTTGATGTATTTATTAAACGGATAAAATTATGAAAGATTTTGAGCTTTTTGCACAATTAATCTTAATTTAATAAAATTGCATAAAAAGAAATAGTAAAAAATCCGGTTATTTTGCAATAGCATTCAAAACGAGAAATGCTATTTTTAAAAATTCGATACAATAATTTACATTGAAAAAATTAATTAATCTTTTTTTTACTGCAGAATGGGCCCCCAAATAGATAACATTCACCACTACTAAACCTCGATCCTTTTTTGACTTTTGAGAACCACACTTTTACTATTATTATCTTGGTAAGACAAATATTCAGTAATAGATAACTGTAAGTAGAGCAATAACTTTTGATCATTGAAAGGTGTTCATTCCAACATTTTAGTGTTTCTCTTTCTGTTCATTTTTTCAGTTATTTGTGACATTAATCGAGTAGCTTTCATTATCATGACACCTATTGCATGAACATGCCTGTACCTTCACACTCATCAATACAATTAACATCAATTACGTCAACCATCAACTCTAAATTTCACTTGCTGCTAAATAACACCCTTTTGGATAATAATGAAGATGAACCGCACAACGGATATCATTGTGATATTTATAGACAGAGGAATAATCTGAACAGAAGAGTTTAGTCTGATACATACATACATAAACACTGATTTTGTTTAAACTCATTTGAAGACTCTTCCTTTTTGATTCATTTAAAATTGGACTAACTTGTTAGTCCAATTGTTCTGTAAAGTCTGAAGAAGCTGTATTCTACAGCGACACGTCACTGTAATGAATTTTAAATGAATCAAAAAGGAAGAGTCTTCAAATGAGTTCAAACAGTTCTACAACCTTCCTCTCTCGTAATCAAACACTGATTTTATAGTAAAAAACAACAATATTTTAAGAGTAGAAAGAAAAGAATGGAAAATTAGAGAGGGAGGATGGAATGTAACGTGAAGGAGAAGAAGTGATCACTCCATGAAATGGATAATATGAAATAAGAATAACTATTACGACGTGGCACTCTGACTATGAAAATCTCTGAGATTTTCCAATATAATCACACACACAGCTAGAAGAATGATGCTTTGTGTATCAACATCAGTAAGTCAATCATTCAAAGCAACATGTTCAATGTTAGTGAAACATCTAACTTCGGCTGTAATTGTTTCCTATTGTTTATTGCAAAATTCGAAAGTGTAAAATGCCAGGAGAAATGGTGAGAAGTACTAAAATGTTGAAAGAATAAACGTATCTTCTCAAAGAGAGCGACATTTTTTCGAATGATTTCGCAAGCATTAAAACACGGTTTCAGTATTAATATTTTTGTGTAGTTTCAAATACGCTCTTTCTCGTCGTGTAGAGTAAAAATCGTTTGATTCTAAATACCCGGCGCAAAGATTAATTTCTCAGCAATCAAGTGAAAATAGCAAAAGTTGTTACCTTTTTTTTCTGCTTGGTGGGTGGAACAAAACAAAGTTTTTTTCGAAATCTTAGAGATGCGATCATAACGATTAATCATTTGTTTTCAAAATTAAAAAAATTAATCTAAATGGACCAAGTTTGACTAAGCTTTATTTGTTTTATTGGAAGGCTCAAATTATTGGTAAAACATCGTCATTTTTTGAAAAGTTAGCAAAAAATAATGAAATTCGTGCGCTCTCAATTCTAACTGAAAATTATTTAAATTACAGATGGAAAATTGAGCTTTTCGAGGCGTACACGATGGCTACTTCAGCTTTCCTCTCTCACAAACTTTTAGCAGAAAATACTAAAAAAGCTGTGAATATGTTTATTTGTTTAACATTTTTGTACTTCTCACCATTTCTCATAGCATTTTACACCTTCGGATTTTGCAATAAAACAGTCAATGCATTTTTTGTAGAGAATTCAATAGGAAATCTTTTGGTTTTTGGTTTTTGATAGTTTAAGTTTCAGAATGATATAACGGGAATTTACATTCTCGATTTCGTTCTGGTTCAAGATTAAAGCTTAAACCAAATCTTTTGGTAAAAGAACTAGCTCACTCAAGTGTATGGGAGAGGAGAAAATTTGAAAACATATTGGAGATGGATTAACAGTATAATGTTTGGCCTTCTTCACTAGCTGCATCAGCATTGATTCATTTGTTGGTGATCTCGTCGTCATCAGATGAACATTCCTGTGACGAAAGCGAAATGTCATCTGGTGCCATGGAACATCTCGGAGATAGATTAACAGATCTGGAACGAAGAATATTTTTTCTTTTTTTGGAAAAAATTCTGGAAAAGATATTGAACTTTTACAATTTTTAGAATTCGATTACAAGCAAGAAGTGCTTAATGTAGAAAATGGTTTGAGTGAAATAAAAGCTGATTTATTGTTAGACATAATTTATTGAATTGAAAATAAGAACACAGACAATTGTATGTCGAAAAAATGAATTGCGAAAAATTAAAAAAGAAATGTTCAGATTAAAAGAAACATTGAATTAAAAACTTAGAAAATTCATAGTGAACTAAGGAAGATAAATATTATTACACAATCTCTCGATATAGAATCATTAAAAACTGAATTAGATGAGAGTTTAAAACTGGTTTATTAAAAACAAAACGGCTTAGAGAATTAGAAAATAGTGAAACAGAACTAGAAGATTTTATTAGGCAAAAAGAAAAGCGAATCAAATTGTATTTAAAGTGGTGCTTCAAGCAAGACATTAGAACTTCAAATATTATAAAATCGATTTGCAAAATAATACAGAAGACACAGAAAATAGTTTGAGAGTGAACAAAGACTTTTATTATGCAAGTTAAGAAACATAGTTTTTACTAACTAAACTTTCGATAAACAAATATTTGGATAACCGTTAACAATTATCACTCCTGGTTCGATTCCCAGTCGAAACACGCTTCTTCTAAATCTTTGTTTATCGAAAGTTCACTCGCTAAAAAAATATATTTCTTTTTTTAAAAAGCAAAGAGTATGTAGCTGTTTAAACAGGGAGACCGGAAAACATCGTTCATTTCAGTTATATTAATTGATGTCGAGAAAGAAAGGTCATTGTAGATTTGGGTTATTTCTGAATACTCTTTTTATTGTTATGTTTCAACGTGAAAGACTGCAGCCTTTCACGTTGAAACGTAAACAAAACAAGAAAGAGTATTCAGAAATAACCCAAATTTAGTTATATTAAGTAAAATGTTAGCTAATGGTAAAAATATTGCTATAATTAATTGCTTAGAACCGTTTACAGGAGTTATGCAAGAATTCTTACGAAATAAATCTAGTGCTTTATTGCAAAACCAAATTTATGTTATGCCATTTTTACGAGACGATTTGTTTTCATGTGAAAATCTTTAAAAAAACTACAGAAATACTTAATCAACGCAAAAATACACAACTATTACAAAATGCCACTCTACTTATTCTTGTCTAACTACTCACTAAGTATTCTCACTTGATTCGCTTAAGTCAAGTATTTGAACGAGTCAGTTGCTCTTTTGTTTTCGGCCTGTCCACGTAACGGTCGCCTTTTCGTGATTCCGTCACAATTTTTGTTAGTTTGCGAGCCTCTTGGCGCTCAAACAAAAGGAAACTGAAAGACCGTTTACATCACATTTTGTTCAGCTCACTTTTCTCTATAAGGCTAGATGTAAACAATTCCTTAGTTTCCTTTTGTTCGAACGCCAAGAGACTCGCAAAACAACAAAAATCGTGACGGAATCACGCGTTACGTGGACAGGTCGTTTTGCATTTACAAGCTGTATATAAATATCACAATATCAATCAATATAAACGTAGAAAAGAAATTTAGATATTTTTACTGAATTGACGTAACTTGGGAGCCATGCATGCGTCTGCTCTACAAAAGTAGAGTATGGCTGCAGAATACGTATAAAATGCAAAATAAAGACAAATGGAACAAGTACTTGAATGAAGCTTTTCAAGCAAATTTAGTTGTACAGGGTACATTAATCGAGTCATTGAAAATAAAAGACTATTCTTTATCGGAATCATTTTTGCACAAATTAATGTATAAAAATTGGAGTTAAAAATGTCTTTTTTTTTGTAATTTTAACCAGTCGCGATCATTTATCAGCACATCCAAATCTATTTATCATGTTTGGATAACATATATTGTTAATGCAGCTGAGTACAGTTTCATTTATGAAACTTTTCTTTATTTATTTGTGATATTTCGAAATGCATAAAGAGAATGTTCATAAATGAAACTATACTCAGTCGCAATAACAATATATGTTATTCAAAAATAGTTGCCCTTAACTCGATGAGAATATTAAGATTTATTTATCATTTTCTTGAAGGAAGCGTACTTAGTGGCTAAGAAGAGTAGCGATGAGATTACTACCAACTTTCGTAAACGATAAATTCGTGTTTATGCTTGTGCCTTCTTTTGAAGCGGGTTTGAAGAAATCTATGCAGTTAATATATATATATTCGATCAGAAAAAGTACAGCTGGTACAAACGATGATAAACAGTATCAATCAAAGTGGACATGTCCTAACAAGCAACGGTCGGTTATATAGACGTTTTTGTTTGACTGTGTTTATTTCTTTTAAATTGTGTAAAACTTGAAAGTTTTCGTTTGTTCTATAATCGAAAAAAATTAATTTGTTCTTGTGTTTTCTATTTGAACCGCAACAATACATCTATAATTCGTTTCAATTTGACGGGTTACGAATAAAAAATAATGCTGCGTTATTGTTCAACATATCGAATAAGAAAAGAAAAGAAATAAGAACAAAAATTATGGTGTCTGCCTGTATATGTATATGAATACATGAGAAATAAGGGTCCAGATATGTTATGAGAGATATTACTCAGGCAACAATCTAGAATATAAAAGTATACGTTAGAATGGGTCATTTATCGTCCACTATCAAAAAAAAGAACTAGTATACTTTTTACGCATTGATGACGCGAATATTCTTTTCTAGTGAATGAACGCAACTACGAGTAGTGTGATATAGATGTATTTTTTTTCTTTCTCTTTTCACGTAAGGTGGTAGATCGCAGCCAAAAATATTGAACATTAGTATAACTAAACACATATAAGAGAGAGAGAGAGAAAGCCAGATAGAGAAAGAAGAACGTTTTTGTCTACATCTTATATTATCAAATTTTATATTTGATACGAAAGAGAAAGAAAAAAACTGTTTAACATTCAATTCAATAGTATAAATCTCGTAACATTCAACATACGAGTGCTGTATTTCACATGCACACATGTCGTAATCATTTAGTTAAAAAAATTGATAGTAATGATGATTATAATAAACATTAAACGATATCGATATTTATATAGTAAAGACTCTTTTTGTTGTTGTTCAAAAAATAATAATAAATATCACAAAACAACCGTAAACTGATTCTTGTGCAAATACATCATCCAGTTTCATTAGAGAAAAAAATAAAATGTTGATTAAAGTTATTTCCAGCCTATTGCAAATAAATAGTGTTCGTTCGTTGGCAATATGTACTCTATCGCTCTCGTCGTGGACACACACTTCAAAGTGCTTACTATTTTCATTGATAATAATTCTCGGTGATTCAAATCTATTGTTATCTGGTCAACAACTTAACAAATCTTCATCTATTACTGTTTCGTCTCGTACTCGTTCTTCTTCTAAGACTAGTCTAACTAATACTACTATTACTACAAAACTACCAACAACGACCACAAAAAAGAAACAATTAACACCTCCACCAATAATTATTGAAGAGCAAACATGCTACAATAAATCATCGGGTACGGCTATTCGATGTTTACCAGAATTTGTTAATGCAGCATTCCGTCGAAAAATTGAGAGCACAAATACATGCGGTGAAAGATGGAAAATTGATTCATCAAATGAGGGTACAGAATATTGTATTCAAACGGGACCACCACAAGGACAATTGGACAATAGTCAGCGATATTATTCATCAACAGAAAAAAATTGTCAACTGTGTGATAGTCGAGATGCAAAACGTGCACATCCACCTGACCATATGACTGATTTTAATCAACGAGGAAATATAACATGGTGGCAAAGTGATACAATGTTAGAAGGGATTAATTATCCAAATACAGTTAATTTAACATTGAATTTGGGTAAGACAAACAACCTTGAACTAGGAATTTTGACTAATTCAGTTGATATGTATTCTTTTACAAACGAGAATCTTGAGACTTATTCAATTGTCTGTAATAGAATAGTTATGCTAATATGTTTTTCTAGGAAAAACCTATGATGTAACATACATTAAATTAACATTTCAATCTCCAAAACCAGAGAGTTTTATTATTTATAAACGTACATATGAAAATGGACCATGGATACCGTATCAGTATTACAGTGCTTCGTGTATGCTCACATTTGGTTTACCAAGAAAAAAATATCCGGATACCGATACAGAAGCTATTTGTTCAGAAGATTTCAGCGATGTAACACCATTGCACGGCTCCGAGGTAGCATTTGGAACATTAGATTGGAGACCGGGAGCAACTACATTTGAAACGAGAATTGATTTACAGGTATAGTTATATAATTTTTTTTCTACTTTATCCATTCATTTCTGATGCTAATAGATTTTTTTTTGGTGGATTTTCAGCAATGGGTCACGGCATATGAAATACGCATTCAGTTGGTGAGAATGAACACGTTTGGAGATGAAATGTTCGGTCAACCGTATGTGCTGAAAACATATTTTTATGCAATATCCGATTTAGCTGTTGGAGGACGGTATGTTTGACAAAGCAAATTCACTTTTCTACTATTAGATTTTATGATATTTTTGTAGTTGTCATTGTAACGGACATGCTAATAAATGTAGTCGAAATGCTGATCAAAATACTGAAGTTCATTGTGATTGTGAACATAATACAATTGGTCGTGATTGTGAAAAATGTCATCCATCTTATAATGATGCCCCATGGCAGCCAGCCGATGTGCATGATGCTCATCCATGCAAACGTACGTTTGTTATGGATTAATTTTTATTGAAACACAAACTTAATTAAACGATTATTATTTTAGCTTGTATTTGCAATGGTTTTGCTCAAACATGTAATTTTAATCGTGATCTATATGAGAGAACCGGTCATGGAAGTATTTGCATTGATTGTGCTGGTAATAGAGGAGGACCAAAGTGTGAAACTTGCAAACAAGGATATTTTCGATTACCGGACACAGAAGGAGACTGTTTATCTTGTTCGTGTGATATTATTGGTAGGTAGTGAAATAAATAATAGCTTGATGCTTGATTTATACTTTGTTTACCGTTAATCAATTAATTACAGGATCAGAAACAATTCAATGCGCAACGGATGGTCGATGTCAATGTAAACCGGGAGTTGTAGGTGATAAATGTAATCAGTGTGCACCGTATCATTATAATTTTGGACCCAATGGTTGCAGGCATGTTGACAATATATTAAAGGAACTAAGAACATTAGTCAATTTCTAAATTTTTTCTTGCGTTTTAGTCGATGCACATGTTATGAGCCGGGTGCAGCTCAACCACTTCAGTGTAATCCAAGTTCTGGCCAGTGTAGTTGTAAATTGTTTGCTGAAGGTCAAAATTGTGATAGGTAAACACAGATTTATTAAATACTGAAAAGGTTTAGCAACTCGTTGTTCTCGATTCACACTTTACTAATTAGTGCAACACTTCTCAATTTTCCTCTAGATGTCGTCCTGGTTATTATAATTTGGATCAGATGAATCCTGAAGGATGTACAAAATGCTTTTGTTATGGACATGCTTCCACCTGTCAAAGTGCACCAAATTATTTTTTTCAACCGATTCGATCATCGTTTACGGAAGGTAGTCTTATATATCTTTTGTTGTCATACAGTAACTTTATTTTACAAATTATGAATAAACAGGAAGCGATGGATGGCAGGCACATGATAAATCTGGTATTGCAGTTCCAGTGCAAAGCGATGGGAGTAGTTATATTTATGTCCAAGCATTACCTGGTCAAGATATTACATTCGAAGCTCCATGTAAGTTCGAGTGAGAATATTTAAAGATTTTAAATAAATAAAGGGAAATAACTTTTAGCCAAATACCTTGGTGATCGTACATTGTCTTATAATCAACTGTTGACATTTATACTGATTCTTCGTGCTCAACCAACGTTAAATCGAATGTATACTCACTATGATGTCTCAATCGAGAGCGGCGATCGTACAAAAGTAGGAGTTGTCATATATGGTAAGTTGTATTAGAACAACTGTTTGTGATAATGACTCCTTTTTCATCATCTTCTAGGTGGAATACCTCAAACCATACCATCAGAAGAACCATTGACATTTCGTTATCGGTAATTGCATACCGTTCATCCTATAATACTATAATAATTATGTTAGTTATATTGTTCTTAGACTAAATGAACAATCTTGGACACCATCATTAACATTTATTGATTTTATGCGTCTATTATCAAACATTACATCGATTAAGATCCATGCAACATTTGGAGTTGATCATGCTGTCAGTTTTCTTGGTGAAGTTACATTGGGACATTCACAACTATCATCTGGAATGTTTCCTGTTTCAAACGTTGAATCGTGTACATGTCCAACAGGTTACTATGGTGAACGATGTGAATATTGTGTAGCTGGTTATCGTCGTAGCCCACCATTTGGCGGTCCGTTTGCACAATGTATACCATGTCAATGTTATAATCATTCCACAATATGTGATATCGAAACAGGAAAATGTCAATGTCAACATCATACAACCGGTGATAACTGTGAACGATGTTTGCCCGGTTTTTATGGTAATCCTTATCAGGGAACACCAGAAGATTGTCAGCGATGTCCATGTCCAAACGGTGTATCGTGTACACAACTAAATCAGCAGCAAGTAGTTTGTTTAAATTGTCCAGCAGGATATACAGGTTAGTTATTTGTCACAGGTTAATTTGTGCTACTATTAATTAATTCTACTAAAATTAAACAGGTGATCGATGTGAATTTTGTGATGATGGCTATTTTGGAGATCCCGAAGGATTGAAGACGGGTGTTCGAAGACCGTGTGAATTGTGTAGTTGTAACGGAAATGTCGATCCAAATACAATTGGAAACTGCAATACGTAAGTTGAGCCATATTGTTTATTTCAATATATCGATAACGTTCTTTTATTGATATTTAAGTACAACTGGACATTGTTTGAGATGTAATCAAAATACATTTGGTGTTTATTGTGAAAAATGTTTGCCAGGTTATTGGGGTGATGCATTAACTGATGTTAAATGTCATGGTACATACAAAATAAGACTAAGAAATATTTTGTATCGATATTATAATGAATTATTGTTCATTTAGCTTGTAATTGTCATCCTCGTGGAACAAGAAGAACAACCGGAGTCCAATATTTAACACAATGTAATCTTCAAAATGGTCAATGTCAATGTAAATCAAATGTTATTGGTCGTCAGTGTGATAAATGTGAAGATGGTTATTGGAATTTAAATTCAGATTCGGGTAAGAGTTATTAATACACTACTTCAGACTCTCTCTTGTATCAGAAATCTATCGTATACCGTAACCAAACGTTCGATCTAAGCGAGAAATTCAAAGGGTACTGGGCATGATGACGAATAGTTATGATTGAATCTTTAAAGTTCTATTAATCAATATTCAGAAGATGTCGCTCGAACATTGGTGAGACTGGGCTGTGCGTATGTGCCAAAAGTCTCGGTCAGTAAATGACGTAGAGTTTTAACTAAGACATTCCTCTACAAAATGAAATGATAGAGCTCAACTTGAAATATTTTGCTTTTTAGATAATAGAACGCTTAAAAAGTCAAAAAATATAGTTTTCCAAAAAAATAATTGTAATAGGAAAACTACAAAAAAATTCAAAAATCGAACTCCACCATCCTGAAGACAGCTGTTTTAGCTACGATTTGAGACCAACTCTATCGATGAACTTTTTAATTTGACTGAGATTTTCTGTAAATACTAAACGCTATGGAGGTAAATGGCGATTTTGAGGATCAAGTGAATTATCTTTTTCTTTCATAATCATGCGTACACACGTGTGCCACATAAGAATTTGTTGGTATATACATTTTTTCTAAAATACTCTTAATAAATACTACTCTTTTGACTAATGTAACTACTCATGAAGGCTTTCATAAAAGTTGCTGAGAAATCTGAAACGTACTTTTGGTGGCAAAAAACATTAGTGCAATCGAAAAAGTAGACTTTGAACTACAACACAATGTGTTATTCTAACAATCAACTATTTTGGACAATAAGGATTATACACTACTGTCTATTGTTGTTTGACTGGATTTTGTTTCTAAGGTTGTGAAACATGTAAATGTGATCCAATTGGCGCCTATAATATATCATGTTCCGTGAATAGTGGACAATGTTATTGTAAGCCTGGTGTAACAGGACAAAATTGTGATCGTTGTTTACCATATCATTATGGTTTTTCACCAGATGGTTGTAAACGTAAGCCCATTTTTCTGAATACATTAAGTGTTATTTCTAAAATTGATCTATCATTTTTTTTCCTGTTTAAGCATGTAATTGTGATCAATATGGCTCATTAGATGTTCAATGTGACGGTCTATCCGGTCAATGTCCATGCAAAGAAAACTTCATGGGTTTACGATGTGATCAATGTGAAGAAAATAAATATCGTGATGGTTACGAATGTCCAAGTAAATAAAACTTAAAAATTTAGTAATTATTTATGATAATGTTATGATCCTTTTATTTCAGCATGTCCAGCTTGTTATCGTGAAGTACAAAAACGTGTTAATCATTATCGATGGGATTTAAATACATTACAAGATGCTGTATCAACATTGAATTCATCACAAACACTCCAGTCATTAAAAGAAGATAAACAATTAACATCCGAATTAGATTTATTAGCAAGAAATTTGAATAATTTAAAAATAGATTTAGAACGTAAGAAATTAAAAAATAAAGAAAAATTTATTTGAATAATTTTATTTTTATTATTAGAAAAAGGTTTAATATCACGAAATACCAGTGACTATAATCAACAAGATGTAGAATTACGAAATAGTACAACAGATTTAGAAAATCGTTATCGAAAATTGGAACAAAAATTACCAGATTTAATTGAAAAAAATAATATCATTCGTGATACAATTCTAAAAGCAAATGAAACATTTTTAAAATCGACTACCTATCAATTGAGTATGTGTAAAAAATACAGTATCGGAAAATAATTATAAAGATATTCTTCTCCTTTTGATTCTTTCCTCAATTGAACAGCTAAAGACGAATTTTTAAAATGATTTAAGTAGAAAAAACGAAAAATAAAATTAAAGCTTCTCAAATATGAGTTCATGTAAAATGAGGTCCGAAAATTCGGTTTTTCACTACTGCTGAGCAAACATTTTTGAATAAAATGAGACGCTTTTCAAAACCCGTTTCTCACTGAATGGTGGTCAGATTCTGAAGAACTCTAAAGGCTGCCACTTTTGATGGTTTTTAGTTAATTTTTCACTTGTTCTGACTGTGTGAGTACATCGATTTCCTTTTATTGAAAAAATATCGTGAAAAGTTCGAAGATGTTTCATCTTGTTTAAAAATGTTTGCAAGTGAACTGTTCAAACAAACGTTTCCCGTTTCGGATCCTAAAACCTGGTTTTCTATGGGTACGATTTTTCAGACACTCATTTTTGTTTTTAGTCAACTTTAATGAATTCTACATTTTCTGATTGGAAAGTTTTCCAGTTACTCAAATCTGTTTTTAGCTCTTCGTTTGTCGACAGTAAACAAAATGGGAATATTTCAATAATTTGTTTTTTCTATTACCGTACAGTTATTTATATTCAAAAATGATGTCTTTTTTAGCTCGTATCAATTCATTGCTACTTGGAATTGATCGCGTTGGACGTACAACGGATAGTAAACATGAAACGGCAATCAATAAAACTTTAGTTATGCAAATAAAAATTGATGAATTAACACAACGATTAAAAAATTTAAAGAAAAAACATGATGATGCAAATAATCGTAGTCGTACAGCGGAAACTGTTTTAGGTACAAAATTAAGAATAATAGATGAAGAAGCACATAATAAATTAGAAAATGATATTAAACAAAAGTAATAAATACATTTTACTTATTCATATTTATTGAAACAATTTTTAATTTTTTTTTTTGTTTTTTTTTAATTTAGACTTGCAACAATTGAAAATCGTCGTCAAAAATTAACAGAATTTGCCAATAATATTTCACGTCGTGTTCTCGATGTTCGAACAAAAGCAAATGAATGGAAATCAAATTTATCAAGTTTAGTTATAGCCGATTTAAGTTCAAATTTATCATTGGAAACTGCTAATCAACTTCGAAATGGTGCATCTCAAATGACACATGATGTAAGTCTATTTTCATGAATATCTTTGAATAATTAAACAATTATTTTTTTTATTATTTTTTTATCATAGTTAAAAGATTTAGAAATTAATATTTCTAATTTTTCGACTAAAGCATTTAAATTACAAGAGACAACGAGAAATTTTGAACGTGAAGTAAATCAATTTAAAGTTATAGTCAATGAAGTTAGTCGTGTATGTAAATATAGTTATACTATTTATAAATAATAAATCAATATATTTGATAATATATATTATAGGATACACAAAGTTTATTTCTTGAAGTTGATCAATCTGAACATGAAGCAAAGAGAGCGGTAGATAATGCAGAAGATATTGAAAAAGAAGTGAGAAAAATTAGAGATGATCTTCAAGGTAAACTACTATTTTTAATTTTTTTTTTTATAAATTTATTAATTTTAAAAACAAAAAAAAAATTTTATTTTTTTCAATTTATAGCATTTGTTCATGATAAAGATTCTCAAAGTAAAGATGCTGAAACACAATATAATCGATTACAATCGATACAAGATCAAATTCAAAATATAACAGGAAAATATTGGGAATTAAATGATGAACATCGAACATTAAATATTACTGTGACTAATGCATTACGAGAACTTGAAAATGCTAAAGCATTATATACAGCATCGGTACGTTGTTGTATTCATCAATTATGTTAAATTTAATTTTTATAAAATTAATTATAGAATTTTCTATATTTATATTTTTTTATTTTTTATTTTATTTTTATAGAATATTGTTGGACAATCAAATGCAATTAAACAAGCTGAAATAAAATTGATACCTGTTAGTAAAGAAATGGAAACATTAACCAATCGTTCATCAACAGCATTAGATAGTTTTACAAATATTAAAGATCAAGCTGATATTCATGTTAAAAGAATTGAAAAAGCATCAGCCATTGGAAAAAATTTAACAAATGATATTAATTCAGCAAGAGATCAAGTTGGAAAATTAATGGAACAATTAAAATCATTGCAATCATCATTGAGTAAGGAGGGAAAAAAAGAAAAAAAGAAAAAAATTTTATTTATTATTTTTCATTATTATTTTAGATCATTCGACTCAAATTAATATTAGTAGTTTAGATAGTGCTGAAATTGAATTTGAACAATTAAATTTAGATAAAATATTTAATGGTATTGATCAATTTCATATGGGAGCCATTTTTGTTAAAAATCAAACAGATAAATTAATTATCGAATATGATACTCTAAATCGATATGTTAATAATATTGATCAAATAGCACGTAGTTTACCGACGGGATGTTTCAAAAACATTCACATTGAGCATAGTCCATCGTCTAGAAGAAGTTAGTTTATCATTTTGAATATTAAATTGTTCATTGTCATAACTTAAGGATGTTTTATCATCTTACTTTTACGTGTCCGTTATTTGTTTTTTTTTTCTTTTTATCGTTCTTTTGTAAAAATAGTTTTCAGGTAATGCCTATAAAACTTGTGTATTCATCATTTTCTTATTGGTTTTTTTTTCTTCTTCATTTTCAAAAAAAAAGTTTTCGTCATCTTGCACACTACGCAAGTACAGTGAATTTTCTTACACAACTTATTCTATCGTATATTGACGTATACTTGTCTTTTTTTTTTTTGGAAAACTACGAGAAGTGATTAGTTTTCATCGTTCATCAGAAGAATCTTTTTAAAAGAAAAATGTAGACTGTTGTGAATATACTGATCTTCATAATTTGGATATTTGCCTTTCTTCAATCAGTCAGATCGATTATTAATTGCAGAATAGAAGTCTGTTTTAAATTGACCGATTGATACACCGATTAATATTTTCAAAGTTTCACACCTTCGAAACATTTTTCATTTAATATTTTACTATAGCTTGTACTGACCAGAGGCTTTCAACATCCTACAGAAGCTTGAGGCAAACAGATGCACTCTAGGCAGTTTATATTCTCCTAAAAATGGTACATCGGTAACATCTACAGTGTTGTAAATAATTTGTATCCGGACTCCGTATACTCCGGTTTTCTACGACTAAACATAATTTATGAAAATCAAAACTATCAAAGTTTTTTTGTCATTTTTGAAGACATACTTCTATATAAAAACTGTTCGATTTCAATTATATTTATCGTATCTAAAGTAATAAATTATTTGTTTTAAAAAATTCATTAATAATTCAATTATTAATTAATTAAATTCATTTATTTGTTCAAAAAAACCATTCATTCTCTGGTATAGTCTTTCACTTGTCGACTGAAAGTTCTGGTTTTTCTCGTTTCTCCAGTTCATACTTCTTCGATCAGAATCTCTCAAAAATTTCAAAATGTATCCCGCAAAATTTTTGTTTGAGATAGTTTGTCTCACTGATATATCAGAGGATAGAAGTCTCTGGTACCGGTTATTATCAATATCGAAAATGTGCAAAGAAAAAATTCGGTTTTTTTCAATAGAAATAGATAAAAACCAACAAGATCAGTAACGATCTGCATTAAAAACATGCAAACTTCCAATGCTATACAATATGTAAACTCTAATCTAATACATATTTTATCATCCATTCAGTTGTAAATAAATGTAAGTCATTTAATAAAATAGAACATTCATTTTAACGTACACTGTTAAAAATCTGTGTCCTTCAAAAAAACAATAAAAATGATCTTCATTTGTCTCCTATAGAGATCATATATGTGTTCTCCAAAGATTTGCAGAACAAGAATCTTCAGTTTTCTGAAGAACATAATCATTGTTCTTTAGGGTTTTTTTTATCTCTATAGGCGACAACTTGTTCTTCAGAGAACAGGTTTTTCAAGAACTTTCAAAAAACTGAAGAACACGTTTTGTGTATTCTGAAGAACACGTTTTGTGTACTCTGAAGAACACAAATGATGAAGATCATACTTTCTGAAGAACAACACTTTTGTTCTTCAAATTTTTGATCTCTATAGGGGACAAATTGTTCTCTGAAGTACTCATTTTTTAAGAACTATCAAAAAGTTAAAGAACATAATTATTGTTCTTTTTTGTTCTTTAGAGAGGAAAAAATTTTTTGCTTCGCCTCGTTTTACATCTGTTTTACACAGATATCAGCTGAAGAACTCAAATCTTTATGGTTCCATTTACTTTAAGAGCGTGACTTTCTTTTATATATACAGCTACCGTCCTAGAAGATTTCGATCAGTTTGTTGGTATAAGAATTTATTAGTAAGTTGAAATATTAGTTGCATTAATAAGCAGAAAGGTGATGTACAAAATAAGAAAAGTTTCTCGCAGAAAAACAGGTTTAATTAAAAGTAATACAGCATAAACGAGAAAATAATGTCAGAAAGAGTAAAAAAAATAGCTCACTTTGTGAGCAGCATACAAGAAAAATGTGTAAATGAATGAAACAAATGTTAGTATAAAAGCATGCATCAGATTA